GAATGAAATAATGTTATTTCAAATGATGACATATAATAATGAATAAAGTGTAGTATATTTATCTTTTGAAAAATGGGTCTACACTCTAAACCTAATGTAGTAACGTGTCCCTATAAAAAATATTGTTTTAATAAAAATTTCACATATACTCGGTAAGATATCATTTAAACTCAATCCAAATAATACAAAAAGTTACTTTAATATTTTTTATTTATTTGTCCACTATTTAAGATTTAGTAACTAAAGTTATCCAAATCCATGCTTAAAATAATGGGAGACCATATCAATCAATGTTGCAATGATTGACTTTTAAACATATTTATTTAATACTTTCCTTTTGTTATATCAAAGCAAAATTTCGAACAAATTTATACAGATTTGTGCAGAGTTTAAATTGATTTTTTTTATTTAAATTTCAAAAAATACCGCCCATTTTTTAAATTTTTTTAAAAAGTTACTAATAATGGTAACATTGAAATTTTTTGGCGGGATTTTTATTACTATTTCAAGTAAATATCAAACCTTTTTATATGTATATAGATGACTAACTATAGAATATTCTAATAAGCCCCTGTTTGTTTTGTAGGATTAGGCAGGATATCCCACTTAATCTTGGCCTAATCCTATGTTTGGTTCACTGTATTAAGGCCCGCGGGATTGAGTCGGCCCGGTATAAAAAAATGAGTTATCCCATGAATTCAAGATAATTGAATCCCTCCTTTTACATGGGATTAATCTAATCCTGAGAAACTAAAGTCGAAATTACCCTCATTTTCATCCTATTTCACTTTCGAAACCTGTAAGTAATCACATTGTGGCAGCATTAAAAACAACAAATTAAAAATTTCATCTGATTATCATTGAACATAGTCTAGTTATAATGTCAATTACTCCAAATTCATAATCAAATGATGTTTTGCAGTTTCTACAGAAAACAAACAATGAAGTTTATGTTTATCCTTCTTACCTTACATTAACATTCATCATTAATGAACTAAAATGGTCAACTTTACCTATTTTCCAATCACTAAGAAATCCAGGCTTACCTCTGAGCAGCAATTCTGATGGAAATTGTTTTGTTCCTCGTGTTTACTTAATTATTAGCGTGCAACTCTCCTTGCATACATTGATTTACATTCAAAAATTGCAGCCAAATACATGAACTTTATTTATTAAACACACATTACTTGCCAATCTCCATAGAACAACCTTGATTCGTTCGAAGGCTGCGACTTACCCGAGAAGGCTTCGACTATATCCCGAGTCTGTGGAGTCCAGTTAAACTCACGGATAGCCTCGTGAACACCTCCATAGTCCTTAATCCAAAGCTTCTAGCCGATTTTCCACACGACAGACACCTCCGGCTGGCCCTCCTTCACCGCCGATGACACCTTCTTCCACAAGAACCTCGCGCTATTGCTATAAACACGAACAACCAACCAACAAAAGATACACATATAAACAAAAGAAACAGAAACGCAGGAAAATCAACAAGCCCACACAATCGACGCCTTTCGGATTGCTCGAATATGGAGAAAACAGAGGGGAATTTCGTCGAACTTTGTTTGATTTCCGGAAGCTCCGTCGCCGCGCGTGCTGGATTTCGCAGTCGCCCCCAATGTGAAACAGAGATGCAGACGGGAGAATGTGGTGGGAAAAATTTGGGGGAAGAATGTTTTTTGGTTTAATTGAAAGGGGTATAAAAGTATTTTACACTATCTACACTTTTTTATTTATTTTTTAGTTTAAACTTATCCTACCTCTTATCCTATATAACAAACATAGGATTAGTTCAATCCCAACAGTACAATCCTATCGAGTTGGACTAAATTAGTCCAATTCCACCCTGAAAAGCAAACAAGCACTAAGGTAATGGACAATTTTCTAGGATTCATTACTGATTAAAAGTGTAGTCACGAGACGTCTTTTGCATGTATTCATTATAATTATTAATCACTATCATAATTTTAACTATGGATGATTGTAAATTGATATTACCTTATTTTTTTAATTATTTATTTTATATTATATTAATTTTGATTTATTTATCCATTTTTTGAAATCCAAAATATTATCCAACAAATAGGATAGAGAAAAGGCTCGATCCTCAACCGTTTGAGCTTCCACCGACATGCAAAGACGCTGGGAGGTGTTCTCGGACCTTCGACGCTCAAGTCAGTAAAGGATATAAAGAAAAGTTGTATGTAATTGTATGTAATATTAGAGTTTGTAGAGTGCGATTAGCCTTACCATCCTACCATATTTACCTATTTATATAGAATTTACTAGCTCCCTTCGTACGCTTTACTTCTCGTCCGTCATATTACTTATCTCTTTTTTTATCCTGACCCTACACGTGTCCCTTGCGGGTCACTTTATGTGATGGGTCTTATTACTTCGGCCTTACCCTATCATTGGCTCTCCTTCTCTTATGAGGACGTTCTGCTATTTCCCCTTGAACACATCTCATAACGACTGCTAATTTAGTTGGGCTGTTAATGTGGCCTAGCTATACTTATAGCCGCGCAGTAAACACAACCGGACTACTGATATATATCCAAGCTACACGCATATATAATCGAGCTGCTATTACATACAGGCTACTAATATAGCCTAGCTACGCTCAGCTATGAGCAGTTGACTTAGCCGAGCTATCAAGTATCAACCACCCTTCTACCATGAATGTCAAGCTACTAGCATAAGGCCGAGCTATTACCTTTTGGTCGAGCTACTAATAACTCAACTATGAGAACCGAGCTCTTAACATAAAGACGAGCTACTATCTCTTGCTCGAGCTACTACTAGTCCTCTTATTATGAAAATCGAGCTATTAACAATCCCCGGTTCTCAGACAGAGCTAACCTCTACTCGGTCCACCTAGCTACTCTTATGTGCTATATCACAATTATTTTTAATAATCATTCATTTCTAATCAATCATTCATTTTAATTAATCAGGTTCCTTGAATAATTCATTAAAGTATCAGTTTTTAGTGCTTTTTTTAATGGGCTTTTAAGAATTTGTGTTTCTACATTCTTCCTAGATGCTGTATGTTTATGAGTTGCTTTGTGATGTTATTATTGATTTGATATTCCATGTTGAAGAAAACTGGAAACTTCGGTTTTGTTTGGTGTTCTATCGGGGAAGGTTGCATCCGAACCGTTGGATCATCCACATACAAGGGTGTGTGTGTTGATCCGACAGTTCGGGCTCGGCCCTAGGGCATATACTTTTGGCCCAAAAGAACCTGGATTTTGGCGTTTGATCTATCTGCTCCAAATATGTTGCATTTTCCTGCAACAAGCTGATATTTTGGCATAGATGTTATGTTTTATAATATATACAGACAGAAGATATGTTCTACACTTGCTATAATGAAATTCGTCGCGTTCTTGCTAGATTCTTCGACTTAGTAGGTGGAGATATGAGCATCCGACTCGTCAATAGTTTAGAAATCTTAAATATTTTAGGTTAAAATGTCACACCCGACACTCATACCCACACCAGTGTCGACACAACATGAGACGGGTATTCTTCCTAGATAGAAGAGTCCGGGTAACATAGTCATACATTTGCAGAAACCAACATCCGTGTTATCAAAGAAGAGGAGAAGATGAAGTTCATCTCAAAGTCGAGAGTGTAGCCGAAAAATCCCGATGAAGCAGAAGAAAAGACCAAGATCGAACATAAACTGGAAAACAAAAAATCAACAGAGAACAGAACCCTAAGCTTCGGCTCAATCCAAACACAACGAGATTCAAATTCATTTGCCCTTCATGGTGAGCCCAAATCCAAATGGGAATAACGGGTCGTAACGCTTATCGCCAACATTCATCGGGAGCTGGTCGACAGTCTTGAACCACGTACGAGGCAATTTGCCCGTAAAATCATAGTCACCGAACAACACATCCGCAACACCCTGGCCTTCCGTCCCTGGCAGCCAAGCCGCCACAAGGGCATCGATATCCGGTAGATATGGCTCCATCACGACCGGACGGCCTGTTATCAGAACAACGACGCACTTCACATGGGTACAAACATTCTTGATAATTTTAATTCCGGTTTCGGGAAGTGTCAGATTTAGGCTATCTCCAAACGTTTCGGCGTACGGTGGCTCGCCTACCACGACAATGGCGAACGGAAATTCGTTTGATTTTAGAAATTCTGTATCTGGGTTCTCTCTGTAAACAACTTCTGTGTTGGGATCAACTGTGTTGTTGATGGCTTTCAGGATTGTGGTGCCTGAACATAACGAAGAAAGCCCGAGTTAAGTGAAGCCATTAGGTATGGTTTTTTTTTTTGCAAGTAATATGAGTTCTTTGTGTTAGAATTGAAGATGATGAGGTTTTTATTTTACCGGCTGTAATATCGCCGGAGAGTCCCTGCCATGTGATTGTCCAGCCACCACACTGATTGCCGATATTGTTAGCGTGAGTTCCGGCCACAAGAATCTTTGGTGCCTTCTTAGGAAGAGGCAACAATGTTTCCTTAACAGTTTTACCGTTCTTTAGCAGCACGAGTGATTTTCTTACAGCTTCCCTTGCTAGTTCTCTGTGTTCCTGTGGAATTTTTGTTTTTGTGAAGCATGAGAGAATGCATTTTTTAACATTTATTCATGGAAGAAAAAAAAGAAGAAGCTGTTTTCAAACTATATTCTGTCTGCATTTATCTAACCCACCCGACTTCCCAGGTGCTTGATCTTGCTGTAATTGGCCAATGGGTTTTCGAATAGACCCATCACGAACTTGACCCGCAGAATCCTACTCACAGCATCATCTATTCGGCTCATGTCGATGACGCGTCTCTTCACCAATGAGGTAAGGCCATCGATAAACTCTGTGTAATTGTATGGAACCATGATCTGCATTGCAAATATTTACATTGACTTGTTTTAATGCATAGTTACGAAAACTTGCCTTGAGGCTGAGGTAATTACTGAAAACTTATTTATATTTTAAAATGACAAAAGAAAGAAAAAAAAGAGAAAAAAAAACTCGAAGTCAGGTCCCAAACAAGAACAAAAATGATGTTCGGAGAATTCAAAACAATGTTGGCAACTTGGTGTTTTATCGTAGTTTCACTAACTAATATTATTTTTTTTATTTTTTATTTTTGGTTTTCATTCTTTGTAATAAAACCCAGAAATAGATTCACCTCACCATGTCAATTCCAGCATTAATGCCAGTCACTATCGAATACGTATAGTTCTTATGCGGGGGTGAAGTTATTCTGTCTATTCCCTGCCAGTCTGATATGACGAATCCCTGAAAGGTAAAAAATTCACAATAAACTCTAAAAATCTTTCATTCATTCATTCTTTTGTGTAACCTGAAATGCAATGCGTACTAAAAAACTGAGATCACCGTGACTTACCCTGAAACGCATGGTTTTCTTTAGGAAGCCTGTTATGAGTTCACGATTGGCGTGCATCTTCACACCATTCCAGCTCGAATAGGATATCATTATACTTCCTACACCGTTGATGACTGAGTTAAAGTAGGCTGGCATGTGGATGCTCATCAACTCGTGCCTGCTGGTAACTGTATTGTTCTCGTTTATGCCATTTATGGTCCCACCATCCCCAACATAGTGTTTGGCCGTGGCTAATACGTTATCCCTGAAGCCAAAGAAAAAAAAAACTATATAATTTTCTTTCAAGTTTTTCTTGGTTTCATTTCGAGTTCATGAATGTGAGTGAACTTATTCAATAATTTTTATCCAATTGATATATATATATATATATATATATATATATATTTATCATTTTCACATGCTTAGTTTGATCGTGGTCCGTGTCACGAGTCAATAATCAATTGCAAAGAGATTCTGCGATCATTGACTTCAACTTGGAAGCTGTTTGACATTCATGCATATTGATCATTTTCATATGTTAGTGAACTAGTTGCATCCTATAATATGTGTGTGTGTGTGTGTGTGTGTGTGTGTGTTTTAGCTTTGTCTTCATTCATACAATCCTCAGCTGAATAATCCAAAAAAACTTTTCAGGAAATCGAAGAAGAAAATGTATCTGATTAGATGCAGTGCACTCACTGTCCAGCTAGGAAAGGGACTCCCTTCGACTTTGCCGGTATTTCGCCTTGCAATCCCAATATTAGTTCAGTCATTGATCGAACAACTTTTGGGTCCTCGCTGTAACTTTCGAAACAACGACCCCATCTTGGATCCCTACAGACCTGTGAACAATAAATAAACAACAAAAGAATCAGTGATGATTATAATTGTTATGTGTTATCATGAGGGCTTTTTTTTTTT